GGCTGTTTTTAATGTCAGGATAAAATGATACACATTATATTCATAATCATAGATTCCAAGGCCAGAAGGGACCTCTGTGATCATCTAGCCTGATCTCTTATAAAATATAAGGCTTTAGAACTTCACCCAAATAATCCCTAGAATGTATCTTTAGAAAAAAACATCCCATCTTCATTTTAAAATGACCAGTGATTGAGAATCTGCCAGGATCCTTGGTAAATTGTTCTAGTAGTCAGTTACTTTTTTGTTATAAATGTATGTTTTATTTCCAGTCTGAATTTGTCTAGCTTCAATCTCAAGCCATTAGATTGTGTTATACATTTCTTTGTCAAATGTTTGTTCCCCAGGTAGGTACTTACAGACTGTGATCAAGTCATCCCTTCACCTTCTCTTCGTTAAGGTAAATAAATTGAACTCCTTGCATCCATTACCCTATGGCAGATTTTCTAATTCTTTAATCATTCTAATGGCTCTTCTCTGATCCCTCTTCTATTTACCAATCTCCTTCTTGAATTGTGGGCACCAGAAGCAGACACAGTATTATAGCAATGGTCTCAAGAATGCCAAATACAGAGGTCAAAGAACCTCTCTTCTCCTACTCAGATTCCCTTGTTTATGCACCCCCAGGATTGCATTAGCTCTTTTAACCCCAGCATTCCACTGGGAGCTCATTTTTAGCGGATTATCCACCACGACCCCCAAATCTTTTCCAGTCACTGCTTCTCAGAAGCGTGTTCCCTATTCTGTAAGTCTGCCCTCCATTCTTTGTTACTGAGGCCCTTGGTGAAAGCTAATCTTACTGCTCATAGCCTGAAAGCTGCAAACTCAGGTGGCGAGAGCTTCCAGTGGCTCCCCTTAAAATACTTTCCTCAGAAGTACAAACAGTTGTCACTGTGGCATAACTATTCTGAGTGAGTGCAAGAGAAGTGAAGGGGCTGGCTCTGTTTTAATTAAAACATTCCCATTGCTACCACATGGGGTTCCCGTCACTGGCAGTTAAAATCATCAGCCCACTCAGCGGTACTTTCATCGTTCTTCCCTGGGTGACAGGTCCATTCTTGAGCTCAGGCAGGAAAAAAAAGAGGGTTAATCAAACATTTGCCCTTCCATCTTCATCAATACTAATGGAGTAGAAGCAAATGGCTGGTGTACAAAGCTCCCCCCGACTCCCCTCTCATTTTAGGTTAGCTTTACTTCTCCACACAAAATAAAGGACTATTAAGTTCTTACAGAAAGGAGAAGAGGAACACGAGGAGCTGGATAAAGAAGAAATTGGGCTGTGGAAAAATCCAGACTTAAAAAGAATTAAAAGGGCAGAAAGCATGCTTCTGAGGATTGTTCCTTCATTGGCATTGCAGCCTTGCCAGGAAGGGTAAGAGGACCAGCTATAGATTTTATTTATTTCTTTGTCAAACCTTAGCCAACTTATATTAGGAAATCCAAGGTTTAGAATGAGTGTAAGTACGCACACTGTATGCTTAAGTCTCAGACTCATCAAGGAAGATCAGCTTGTGTCCCAGACACGCAGCCAATTCATCAGTCCTGGGCTTGTCATGAAGCAGTCTGAAGGGATATTCATGTCATCCTGCTTTTGAGTCCATTTTAAAGGGGATTTCTTGATGAACAATATACTTAATTTAGAGGGAGTCCTAAAATCAAGAGACAGGGAGAGCCAGAGACTCCTAGGTATAGAGAGCCTAGACTAAAGAGTATCATTTCAGAAAATACCGGTGACTATTTGTGGTACCATCTAATTTTGAGGAAGGTCTATGGCCTGTGTCATACAACAGCTCAGAGCAGGTGATCACAGTGGTTCCTTCTGGTTTTGGAATCTAGGTATCTAATCCAGTGAGGGGCAACCTAGACTAGTGAGTGGGCCACATGAGGGAGCTCCTTTATCTCAGCGGGCTGCAAGATTGTCATAATCAAACAGTCTCCTAGGATAGGGCAGTTTTGCTAACTGCGCTGGTGTCCCTAGAATTTGTGAAGGGTAGCAGCGCTTTGATTGATACAGTGGGAGCTCACAGCTCTCATAGTCAGTGCTGTGTTCAATCAGCAGGCACCTCGCTTCAAGTGCTCCTGTAAGTGCGTGTCACTTTTGTAATACCGGTAGGAAAAAACTACGCGGACAAAAACCAGCAGAATCTGGAAACCCTGAGCATGGGTACTGGTAAACAAAAGGTCTTAGAGCCACGGACCACACATAGTATGTGGCCCTTGGGCCCCAGGTTGCCCACCACTGATCTAATCTAATTGAATGTTATAGGATACTCATCACCACCTACATTCGGATGTGGGTCCCGCTTGTGTAACCTGAGGGTATGTCTACACTACAAAGTTAGTTTGAACTAACGGACGTTAGTTCGAACTAACTTTCCTAGGCGCTACACTAGCGCTCTGTTAGTTCAAATTTAATTCGAACTAACGGAGCGCTTAGTTCGAACTAGGTAAACCTCATTTTACGAGGATTAAGCCTAGTTCGAACTAGCTAGTTCGAATTAAGGGCTGTGTAGCCCCTTAATTGGAACTAGTGGGAGGCTAAGGCTTCCCAGGTTTCCCTGGTGGCCACTCTGGCCAACACCAGGGAAACTCTATTGCCCCC